TGACTTGAATGAAATAATGGCGGTTGGACATTTTGGATTATGTGAAATTTGCCTCAGCTACTGAGGCTAATGGTGATGTTGTCTCATTAATAACCACTCAGGCTGGCTTTCTTCTTCCAAAAAGTACAAAATACTTTTACATTTTGTTTTTCTGAAATGAACTCTTAAAGCCAGAAAAAACCTTAGAAATAATACCACCCATGCCCTGCATCTCCCAGAGTGCAGTCTCAGAGAGGGTAAAACTTTTACTGGTCCCATAGCAGGCTAGAGCTAGAAAGAGAACCTAAGTTCTCTGTATCTGCTTGTAATTGACCAGTAGTACTTGTTACTACTGTTAGTAATAATTTTAAATTCATTAATTGGCACTGAGGATACTAAGAAGCCTAAAACATACTTCCTGCCTTTAGATTTGCAGTCTCCGGGGCAAGTGGACAGGTATACATTAAAATTATTTAAGTCAGGTACCAGAGTAGTGATCCAGAATGTTAATTCTACAGGAATTTAAAGGAAGAAATTAAGAGTGATAATGGTTTTACATAACTTTTACAGATGAGGTAAAAGTTAAGAAGGGCTGGGCTGAGGAATAGTATACAAATAGTTTTTCACGTTAAGACCTGTAGAAACAATGAAAAAAACCAAGCCAGAAACTTGAATCTCCTCATTTCTAGTCCAATAGCCTATTATATAGTCATCATATTTATAATTATTTATGATTAGTGAACTTAAATTTCTGTTTAAATCAATAAATATTTAAATGTGTTTAATGCCCAAAGTATTATATTAGACTTTGTGTATTGTATTAGGCACAGGAATCAAGTTTTGGCTTCCATGCAGATACAGAAGCCCAGTTTACTGAGTTCTTTGGCTATATAAATTATGAATATGAAATCCATTTTGAAAATGTATTAACTACAGTAATTCTTGTAGTCTGCACTACTGTAGGAATAACTGAACTGGCTAATCTGAAACTACTTAAATCTGCTCTCAAAGGTCCATAAGTCTTAAATCTAGCAGTAGTAGATGCTTATTTTTTGTTATTTATTCTTCTGTATTCATGGCAGCTATTGTTTTTCATAGTTTGCATATGTTTTGGGAATAACATGCCCTTTGCAAGGAAGAAGTCCTGCAAATATCAGTGAAAAAAAAATGTTTGCCCTACTGCCTAGTGTATATTTAATAAGTTGTTCTGGGTTGTAGCTTTAGCAAAATTAAGAAAATGTGCGTCCATCTGTGTTATGTCACTATACTGCAGTTGAATTGGGCATACTGTATTTTTAGTATAGCTTCTTGCATTTTTTTTTTACCATTTTAATTCATTCAGAATTTCATTTGTCATTTTTTTTCTGTTTTCAAAAGGATAAATATGAAAGCAGAATGATGTGTATTCTCATTTTCCAGTAGTGTGTAAAGATGAAACAATTGCTGAATATTTTTGAGACCTTTGTTGCTGTTTAGATTAAATCATTCTTGGGGTGCCTGGGTGGCTCAGTTGGTTAAGCGTCCAACTTGATCTCAGCTCAGGTCTTGATGTCAGGGTTCTGAGTTCAAGCCCCACGTTGGGCATGGAGCCTACTTTAAAAAAAGAAAAAGATTAAATTATTCTTTTCAATAATGTAATGAATGCATACTCTAGTCAAGTATTTTGAAAGTATAACCAGCCATTAGAAAACAAATGGTAGATGGAAAAAAATCTTCCCAGTCAGCTCTGGTAGAGCTCAGTCAGATTGAATTGGAAAAGTATTGAAATGGTTCATAATGAGAAAGTTTTATCCTTTTATTTTTTTTTGGTTAATAAAAACATTCTACTAAAAAATAACATTGGATGGATTAGTGTCAATATTGCATCTGACATAAAAATATTTTTTTAAGATTTTTTTATTTATTTGAGAGAGAGAGAGAATGAGAGAGAGAGAGTACGAGAGGGAAGAGGGTCAGAGGGAGAAGCAGACTCCCTGCAGAGCAGGGAGCCCGATGTGGGACTCGATCCCGGGACTCCAGGATCATGACCTGAGCCGAAGGCAGTCGCTTAACCAACTGAGCCACCCAGGCGCCCTGACATAAAAATACTTTATATCTAAAATAAATCTGGTTGAAAAAATGTCCCTTTTTTATGAAGAAGGAAAGATGAAACCTCAGGGCTGGGAATATGACTGGAACAAAAGAAAATAAATACAGCTTAGTATTCTAATAGCCCTCAGAACAATAGGGATGGACTCTTGAAAGCTAAACAAAGATTATTAAACTCAATTACTATAGGGAATGTACAAATTAAATTATGTCATTTTTTAATCCACCATATAAATTGAAAAGTGGTACTAGCAAATACAGGGAAAGAAGTACCTTCATATACTGTTGGTGGTATGTAAATGGGAAAGTCAGTTTTGAAGGGCAATTTGGCAGGATCTATCAAAGTTAAAAATGATCACATTACATTACTTTTTTTTGAGAGAGAAAGTGGGGTGGGGCAGGGAGAAGGAGAGAGATTATCTTAAGGAGGCTCCTCGCCCAGCAGAGAACCAAATAAGGGCTTTGATCTCATGATCCTGAGATCATGACTTGAGCCAAAATCAGGAGTCAAATGCTTAACCGACTGAGCCACCCAGGCACCTCACACATTACTTTTAATCTAGCAGTTTCATTTGTAGATATCTGTCCCACAGATATACTTGGATAAAAATAAATGCAAGGAAAAGTCTCTGTAGCATGTTTGTAATGGCAAAGTATGGAAACATCCTTAATTAATTTAGGATTAATTGCCAAATAGTTAAATTATGTATTAACTGCCAAATAGTTAAATTGTGGAATAATCATAGAATGAAGTACTCTGTTATAGTTAAAAAGACTATCTCTTGTTGGAAGGATTTTTAAGTTGTATTAAGGTTTAAAAACTTGCAAATGTGTATGATATGAGTCCATTATATAAAAAGGATAATGCAAAGTATTCCAAATGCTGAGTATTTGAGTATACATATATATGCGGACTATTGTTTTTTGTAAACAAATAGAACATTTCAGGAAAGATACAAACTTCTTTCTGAGTTTACTTCTAGGGAGAGTGGTAGGATTTCAGAAGTATGAAAAATAAGACAGTTTCTTTTTTATACTTCTGTACAGTGACTTTTTTTCTTAATATTTAATTTATTTATTTGACAATGAGAGAGAGAGAGCAAAAGCAGAGGGAAAGGCAGGCAAAAGGAGAGGGAGAAGCAGGCTCCCTGCTGAGCAAGGAGCCCAAAACAGGGCTCAATCCCAGGATCCCAGGATCATGACCTGAGCCGAAGGCAGATGCTTAACCGAGTCATTCAGGTGCCCCTACAATGACTTTTTTTCTTTAAAGATTTATGTATTTGAGAGAGAGCACGAGCAAGGGGAGTGGCAGAGGGAGAGAAGCAGCAGACTCCCTACTGAGTGAGAAGCCCAGTGCTAATCCCAGGACCCTGAGATCATGACCTAAGCCAAAATCAAGAGTCAGACGCTTAATGGAATGAGCCTACCAGGCGCCCCTACAATGACATTTTTGATAATAAAAATGTATTCCTATTTTACTTGTAAATAAAAATGCAAGTAGTCTTGCTTATTCTATTCAAAATTCTGTATCATGTCCAGCAAATCCATATTCCCATAATTTTACCATCTTTAGACTCTTCTTTTATTGCCTTCCCCTAACTTCATTACATAGGGAAAAAGGAAAAGGTGAGTGTGGTTCCGTAGGTTCAGTGACTCTGGCCATACAAAACTTTTGGGACATTTTCACTGGCATCTGTTCCAGGGTAGAAATTTGAATGAAATGGCATGGCAGAGGGTCAGGATGTCCCCATGGTGTAAGGTCTGGTCCTTGAACCTTGAAAGTCACCAAATTGTAACTTACGTATTGGAATTGATCAGATTCAGAGAAGCTTCTTAAGGCAAACCAATATCATAGGAGATTAAACCAGATTGCCAATTTATTAATTTACCATGACAAATACAGCTGGCATGAGAACTAAGCTACTCTCATCTTCTGATCAGCATGTTCTGTCTTTGAAGGCAATCTAAACAGGAAGCTGAATTAGAATCATGACATATTTAGTAAGCATGGAAATAGAATAAAGGGGAGTTAAATATATAAGTTAGATATTTAATGACTGAGGCTCTGATGGCCTTCAGTTCTGGGGTCAGTATATAGCCGCCACTGGGATGAATAGGGTGAATCCTTGTGGGCATCCCCAATAGCGCTGATTTTACAACATAGTTCTCAAAGAGCAATCATAGTGCAGTTTCACAAAGTGCACTGAACCATCACGTACATATATTACATATGCCAGATGTTATATTAGATCATGGAAACACATAGAAAGGACACTAGGTTCTTATTTTCTCAAGCTCTTAGTTCATGTAAACTAAACACTTTGGAACCTTGAAGTTTTATTTAACTGAGGTCTAAATTTTGTTGGTGGCCAAATTTGGGTAGATCTCAGAAATTTATCTTGGTCTCAGAATTAGCAGATGTTGCTTTTTTTTTTTTTTTAAAAGATCCCAGAGTCCGGGATCATAACCTGAACTGAAGGCAGATGCTTAACCAACTGAACCACCCAGGTGCCCCACAAATAGGCATTGTTATTTCTCTTCATTTTACGTAAAAGGGTAATTATCATATATGCTATTCCACAACCTGGTTTTTTTAAGATAACAGTATGTCATGAAACTCTTCAAATCCATACAAAGATTTTTCATTCCCTGTTTATTGCTACATGGTATTGCCTTGTATGTATTTGTCATGGTTTAGCCAGTCCTCTCCTGGTGCACACTGAGGTAGATTTAATCTGTTGCTGTTACCAACCATGATGTAATGAATAACTGTGTTTGTGTGTGTCTAATTTGACAGATGTGCAAGTATATCATTAGGATATTTTATCAGAAGTGGCAATTGCTGGGTCACTATATGCAGTTTTATATGGATGATTTTAATGGATATTGCCAAATTACCCTCCATAGATTGTACCATTTTCTTTTTCTTTAAGGAAGTACATTGTACCAGCTTACACGTTCCTTAGCAGTGCCATTTCTACAGTATTGCCAGTAAGTGTGTTTTCAAACTTTTGGATTTTTTTTTTTT